AGCGTCACCTGCATCACCTCCTGATGAACATCAGCTGGGGGAAAGGAAGGGCTCGTGGTCACACACACCCCTCTCCCCGCATCCAACGCTGAGAGTGATCCCAGTGCAGGGCAGCATCCACATTTCTTGTTATAGAGGTTATATTGGGCGTGCTCAGAAAATTTCAGTGGCTCTGAAAATAAAGTTGTATGATTGTGACTACGCTGTTCACGTTATTATCCATCTTTCTCCAACTAGGACTCTAGGTGGATCATATCCAGTTTAACCACTTAAAACAGTACAGCTTGAGAAACAGCCCGTTTTAAAAGGACTGGGGAGTCCATTTGGCACAGGGAAGGGGTGGCCAGACTGTGGCCACATGAGGCTCTTTCACACACATTATGTGGCTCCTTTCAGGGCAGCTGGGGAAGCAAAGGGGAGGTGTGCCCCCCCCCCCGATCAGTCTTCCCTTCCCCAGCCAGTTTTCCCCTCCCTGGGTAGGCTTGAGGTGGGGGGGGAGCAGAGAAAGAGAGCAACTTTAGCTTTAGAAGAAGAAGAGATTGGATTTATACCCCATGGCCCTTCACTACCCAAAGGTGTCTCAGAGCGGCTTACAAACTCCTTCCCCTCCCCTCAACAGACACCCTGTGAGGTCGGTGGGGCTGAGAGAGCTCTGGCAGAAACTGCTCTTTTTCAAGGACAGCTCTGATCAGAGCTACGGCTTGCCCAAGGTCATCCCGCCAGGCGCAAGTGGAGGAGGAGTGGGGAATCAAACCCGGTTCTCCCAGATTAGAGTCCGCGCACTTAACCACTACACCAAATGCGTTCTCAAAGCCTCCCCCCCTGCCCAGCCTATAAATATCATTGGACAAATAAATATCAGTATCTATTTTTATCCCTTTTGTTTTTATTTTTGGCAGTCTCATTTAATGTTAATAAAAAGCAAATCTGCATATTTTTCAATTAAAACTTATGTGTCGTATTTGTTCATGTCATGCAGCTCTCAGACATCTGCTGTTTATTCTGCGTGGCTCTTACATAAAGGACGTTTGGCCACTCCTGGCGTAGTAGTTGACCGAGGAGGACTGAGAGGCCTTGACTGCAGTCCCTGCCCAGCTATGAATTTCACGGGGTGGACTTGAGCTGGCTTGCACAGGATTGTTGTGGGGACAAAATGGATGTGGGAGAGCCATGCCCACCACTCCGAGCACCTTGCAGGAAGGACAGCATGAAAATGGTATCGATATACATTGCTCCAAATAGAGGAAGGTCTTCCCACTCCTCCAAAAATGCTCAGAGAGTTCCTCGTCACGATGGGCTGTGGCCTGCAGGCAGCCATTGTAGTCTTAGGAGCTGGAATTTAGCTCATTTGCCATGTGCGCTATTCCTACAGGGGATGCCCTTGCTGGCTTTGGTGTGGCGGTTGAAGCCAGACATTTCCCACCATTCTTGGAGAGGCTGGGAAGGAACCAGGAGAACAGAGCTCACACTGTAGGGCCAGCTCCAGGTAGGCTGTTGCCCCCACCAACAACTCCTGGGCCTGCGCTGCCTCCTGCCAGGTCCAAACCAGGCTTCTGCAGCCAGGCCACAGGGCTTGGGCCCGGCTGGTGGCAGCCCAGGTGGGGATCCAGCCCCCTCCAGTGCTCCTGAGGCATGGGAGTTGCCCGCGCTTCTGCAGAACATTGATGTGGTCTTCATTGCACCAGCCCAAGATGTTGCGTACGTGGCTGGATTGGAGATCCAGCCCTGTGGCACCATCGTGGGAAGAGTGCTCTTGAACCTGCGGCTGTGTGCCGGAGTTGCTCCCCACAAGGCTCCCCCTTTGTGAGGATAGAGAACTGTGCAACATACATGCAAAAAACCCAAATAGACATAAACCTCCATTTGTTGTTCCTTATTGCTCTCTACGTGGCCCGGATATTGATGGTGCCTTTCTTTGAACTTAATTCAACCATTGAGAACCATGGGTCATGCTAGTCAGTGGCAAAGATACAGAAGCCAAGAGTGGGCCTTATTTATAGTTTATCATGGGGACCTCTTTAGAACAACGATTTAGTCTCCCAGACAGTGCTTATGTGGCAGGACATTGCGAGATATTTCGGCCCTGCCTGGAGAAGCCATGGCCGGCTTTGCCTCCTTGTAAGGAGGACGGGGGGAGGGCTGCAGTTGCAGCCAGGTCTCTCCTGGGGGGGCAGAGCTGGCACATGAACAGCCGGCTGCATCCTGCCCCTCCCAGTTGCTGCCTCGTGCCCTGTCTGTAGCGCAGGCTTTACGCTGGTTGCCCCGTTAAAAGGGGGGCCGGGTAGGGATTTTTTTACCTTTTTTCTGATTGGCTGCTGGAAAGGGGTTTTTTTGCCTACCCTGCACTGCGGTTAGTTGATTGTGGAATTGGCCTGGGTGGTGCCATATGATAGATTGGTCACTTTATATGCTGGGCAGAATTAGGTCTTGGACAGAGTTTCTGCGGCTCGGTAAGCACCCATCAGCAACCCAGTGGGGGTTTAGGGGTCTGGCAGGATTATCCCTGCGGCTGCGCGGCCAGGGAGGAGGATTGCAGGCTGCCTTTGAGGATTGCCAGGACGGATCCTCTGTGCAGGCTGTGCGATTTCGTTGGAGGGATCCTCGGGGTACATCCCAATTGCTGGGCCGGCCGGGTACAATCGAATTACAGTGAAGCAAAGCACCCTTTCTGACCCTTTCTCAAACAGCCAGGACGCTGCAACAACTTAAAACTCACCCACACACTCTCATACACTATCCTCCCACACAGTACCCTCAGCGAAATCTCCTCAGCTGAAAGCAAATAAAAAAACACTCACCCTTCTAGCAGCTCTGTCTCCTGCTTCTTCTCAGAGCTCAGCTGGATCAGTAGCTGTAGCTGCCACATTAGACCAACGGGAGTACTGTACAAATAGGGCAGGTTCACATGGGCGAACAAGGCTCCATATGAGTAGAAGCCCCATGGTGACTGTAGCAGCTCACATTTCCACCGGCTCTTTCAGCCACCTGCTGAGAGCCCTTTCCAAACTCCTCTCAGCACTGATTCTACTCATCCTCCCTACCACATCATCTTCTTGGACACAACAGTGGAGAGGAGCAAGGAGACATCTGGCTGTGCCATTTGCTCAAGTCAGGTGCTGCTGCGGTGAAGAAGCTAGCAGGTGGCATTGAGAGAACACTGGAATGGGCCAGGAGGCTGTAGCTGCTTCTGAACTACGATAGCACCACAGTCACTTGGAGGCTCCCAGCAACAATTTTATTTATTTATTTATTTTCATCAGACGTATATCCCACCCTCCCTACATTGTAGGCTCAGGGCAGGTACCAACGGCAGATAGTGTGGTCCCAGCCTGGCTTCCAGGATCTGCAGTCAGAATAGATGCCCACTGCCTCAACTAAAGGCCTGGCGGAAGAGCTCCACCTTGCAGGCCCTGTGGAATTGTAATAGGTCCTGCAAGTCCCTGATCTTGTATGGTAGCTCATTCCACCAGGCAGGGGCCAGGGCTGCAAAAGCCCTGGCCCTAGTTGAGGCAAGTCAGACATCCATGGGGCTGGGGACCGCCAGGAGATGTTGACTGGCAGAACACAGTGTTCTATGGGGCTCATATGGGGAGAGGGGGTCTTGAAGATATGCAGGCCTCTGGCCACATAGGGCTTTATAGGTAAGCACCAACACCTTGAAAGGGATCCGGAATTCAATAGGCAGCCAGTGTAGGTCACGCAGCACCAGGCGGATATGTGCCCGCACAGGCAGCGACATCAGCACCTGTGCTGCTGTGTTCTGCACTAGCTGCAACTTCCAGAGCAGAGTAAAGGGAGGCCCCACGTAGAGAAGAGTTGCAGTAGTCTAATCTGGAAGTGACCTTGGCGTGGGTCGCCGTAGCCAGATCACAGGGGATGAGACATGGGGCTGACTGCCTGACCTGCTTCAGATGAAAAAGGCAGCGCTTTTAATCTGCTGCCATAAACTGACAGCCACAAATTTTAATTTTTCCCCCTTCTGGCAAGTGGTGAACTCCTCTCGTGCTTCCATGCCCGTGTGTGAGTCGTCTTAACTTCATAGTATTGCCAACTTTCACTATATGAGCTGGACATGATTTTGGTAGGCCAGTTTTATGCTGCCTGACCAGTGGGTTGCTGTACAGCTAGAGCTGAGTCCAGTAGCCCCTTAGAGGGGGTATGAGCTTTTGAGAATCAGAGCTCCCTTCATCAGATACAAGTCGAAATGGAGATCTGAGTCCTTCTATCCCAGTCAGAAGGTGCTAGTGATTTTAGACATCTCTGTCGTAGTTCCTTGGTTGTTGCCTCTTTGCAGATGTTTTAGCTTGTCATGTGGAAGGGCTTCTGATAACAGCGGGGACCTTTGGGGGAGCAGATTCTTTTGCTGATGATGTGTGTGCCAACTCTGGGATGAGAAATACCTGGTGGTTTTGGGGGTGGAGCCTGAGGAGGGTGGGGTTTGGAGAGGGGAGGGACTTCAATGGGATGCAGTACTATAGAGTCCATCTTCCGAAAGCGGCGATTTTCTCCAGGTGAGCTGATCTCTGTTGCCGGAAGGTCAGCTGCAATCCCAGGGGATCTCCAGCCACCCCCTGGGGGCTGGCAACCATAGGTGCTGCTCGCCAGCACTGGCATCCACTGCAACTCACAGCAGACCCTTCTCTTGCTGACCCTGGTAGATCAGCATCCTTCCTTTGAAAGCCCTGGGCCAAATTGCATGCATTGCCAGCACCGTTGTTCTTCCCTCCCCTACCTTGTCAGACGTTAAATGCCTGTGTGTGGGGGTGTGTGTGTGAGGGGTTGAGAGGCAGAGCACACGATGATCAATAACGGTGCACGAACACTAAGACGGGGCCCAGCCCGCTGTTTTATTTGTTGCAAGTGTGGAAGCATCCTTGACCGGGGTGGCCCAGGCTAGCCTGGTTTCCTCAAGATCTCAGAAGCTAAGCTGGGTCGGCCCTGGCTAGTAGTTGGAGGGGAGGCCTCCAAGGAATACCAGGGTTGTGATGCGGAGGCAGGCCATGGCCAAACCACCTCTGAACACCCTTGGAGACCCGACGGGGGCTGACATGAGTCAGTTGCGAGCCAGGGCTCTTTTTGTAGAAAAAGCCCAGCAGGAACTCATTAGCATAATAGGCCACACACAACAGCAGAAACACATTAGCATATTAGGCCACGCCTCTGCCAGCACAGCTCATTAGCACATTAGGCCGCACCCCCATGTTACCAGAAGTGTGGTCATCCAGCCACACCCACCTTTTGCTTCTTATTCTGTTTACCTTGTTTGTTGTCAAAACCCAGGGCCTTTTTTTGTAGCAGGAACTCCTTTGCATGTTAGGCCACACACCCCTAATGTAGCCAATTCTAACGAGTTTCTGCTGTTGGGTGTGGCCTATTATGCTAATGAGTTCCTGCTGGGCGTGGCCAACTTGGGAGCCAGCCAGAACTCCGTTCCTGTGCGTTCCTGCCCCAAAATAGCCCTGGTTGCGACTTAACGGCACTTCCCGCCCCTACCACCAACTGCTGAAGTGTTCTCCTAGCTGTTGGTGGCACCATGTTGAAGGGCAGTTATGTTTCCCCACTATATTTCCAACAAACAAACTATTCGCTTTGGGGGAGATTATTTCATAGCCAACACAACATGTTGAACAGTGGCGTGTGCTCCGGACAGAGTCTGGCCCCCTCTGCAGTGCATTCGGAGGCGTGGTTTAGGGAGTGACTGTATTTTCGCCACCAATGATATGTTGAGGGTATGGAGTGGTGTTTATTCCCTGTTTTCTTAAAATAACTTTAAATTTTCTCTCTCTCTCTCTCTCTCTCTTTCCTTTAAAGGGATTTTGGAATTCATTAGCTTGGCTGTAGGGCTGGTTAGTATCCGTGGGGTGGACTCTGGACTCTACCTTGGGATGAATGAGCGAGGCGAACTGTACGGATCAGTAAGTATTAAATTCTTAGGGATTTGTGGAAGACCAAAATGAGGGCTTTGTTGTGGCTTGATACTATTTGATACACATTATTTGGGGCTTTTGCCTTTCTTGCTTGGCATAAGGAATTTGGGAGGATGCTTGGCCATTCCAGCCATGGGCTAATAACAGTGGCACCTTTTGTAGCCCTGGTGAGGAAAGGCCTTGGCTGTCTGGGAAGAGGGTTAGGAGGATGAATTCGCTGCTTCCGCTAGACGAAGCAGAAGCACAGATTCTTCACATTTTGGGAGACTATCTAACAATGTGTAGCTTGCCTTATCAAGGCAGCCGAAGCATAACAGCAGAATTATAACCCTTGAAAAACAACTGCATCAAACTAAACTTTCGAATTTAGCCACCATGTTAAGCTCCAAAAGATACACGTTATGCTTTTTTAAGGGTGGTGGTCTCTCTTATCTCTGTGAGGAGTTTTTCCGAAAGCCTTGGCTCACCTCAAAGAAAGCCTGGCTGCTTCTGATCTCATGTCTCCCGTCGAAAGTCCTCTTGGACAATCCCTCTCACAGAATCTAAGTGGGAGGAGCTAATGTCAAGAGAGACGCTCTCTGTGCAGGACCAGTCCACGCAAGGATATCCAGGGAAGCACCAGTGCCTTCAGGGAGGCCCAGGAACTTGCGGCGCCCTGATGAACAGAAAGCAAGAGGCAGGTTTTTGAGCAACGCAGTTTCAAAGGCAGCCCCAGAAGGTTCATGAGCATTTTTTTGGGGGGGGAGGGGAATCATAGCTTTCCCCCCCAAGGTTCTCATCTTGTTCTCTGGAGCCAGAGTAGACATCAGAAAACACTGTACTAAACTCCAACTCAATCTGTATCCTCTGTGAATACAGTGCAGTGCAATCCTAGGCAGAGTTTCTCCAGTGTTAAGCCAACGGGTTTAGACTAGAGTAACTGTATAGGCCACCAAAAAGACAAATAAGTGGGTTCGAGATCACATCAGTCCAGGGTAGCCCAATCTCATCAACCAAGGAAGCCACAGCAAGACCTGAGGAAAGCTGTTCATGACAGGACCTTTAGGAGAATGTTAATTCATTAGGGTCGCCATAAGTCACAAGTGACTTAAGAACATAAGAGAAGCCAATGTTGGATCAGGCCAGTGACCCATCTAGTCCAACACTCTGTCACACAGTGGCCAAAAATACCAGGTGCCATCAGGAGGTCCAGCAGTGGGGCCAGGACACTAGGAGAACCTCCCACTGTTGCCCCCCCCAAGCACCAAGAATACAGAGTGTCCCTTGCCCCAGCCTGAGAGTCCCTATCTATACCTTGTGGCTAACAGCTGCAGTGGCTCAAGTGGTTAAGACGCTGAACTGCAGGCTGTGGAAGGTCAGTAGTTCAGGAGTTCGAGACCTGGGTGCCGCATGATGGAGTGAGCTCCCATCTCTAGTTCCAGCTTCTGCCAACCTAGCAGTTCAAAAGCAAGACATTGCAAGTAGATAAATAGGTACCACTTCGATGGGAAGGTAACAGCGTTCCGTGCACCTTGGCATCTCATCATGCCAGTCACATGACCACGGAAACGTCTTCGGACAGCGCTGGCTCTTCGGCTTTGAAACGGAGATGAGCACCGCAACCCTAGAGTCGGACTCGACTGGCTTTCGAGCAAGAGAACCTTTACCTTTACTTTTTAACAGCCACTGATGGACCTCTGTTCCATATGTTTATCCAGTTCCCTCTTGAAACCGTCCATGCTTGTAGCTGCCACCATCTCCTGTGGCAGTGAATTCCATGTGTTAATCACTCTTTGGGTATAGAAGGACTTCCTTTTATCTGTTCTAACCTGACCGCTCAGCAATTTCATGGCGTGCCCACGAGTTCTTGTATTGTGAGATGGCACTTAAGACACATCCACAACTGTAAAATTCTGTATGGGCAGACTATCCAGATTCTGAACCCAGAACAGCTGAATTCTGTGACTTGGTTAAATTATGCTAGTGTAGTAAATGCACGTATTTTTGCACAGTCTGATTCTGATAGTCCACAGGAAGGTAACGGACATTAAAGCCTTTCCTGCAACAAGCAGGAATATTACTCAGATACCTCCTCTGTCCTTGCCCATATAGCATTGGAGTAATGAGAACCAGATGCAGTTTAAAAAAATGAAAACCAGTGTGGTGAAGCAGCAGCATTTGCTTTGTCTGTTCTGTACTGAGCTGCAGTCAAAAAGCCAGCCCTGTGTTGACTTCCAGCTAGACTGGAAATCCACAGGCCTTTACAAGATTCTGCCTGGATTCCACTTTTGGCAGTCTGCTAAAATGTCCACAGCGTCACACCCAAAGCTGACACTGGGTTAAATGCTGCATGCATCTGTGTGTGGTGAAGCAGATTCTGGTGACTGCTTACCTTGGGCATACCTGGCTGGCCTTATAGCAGGGACTGGCTTTTCTCTGTGGCCTTCGGGGTGACCACCTCACTGGACCCCTGCCAGTTGAAGAATCTCTCTCCTGTGAGAAGATGCTTGGGTGGGCTACTCGAGTCAGTTCTATGCCCAGGTTTGGCCATGGGCTCAAGAGACTGCCAGTGTGAGAGGAATCGCATCACAGTATCAATGTCAGCAATTCATTCCTGGTCCTAACTATTTTAGGGAGATGACTTCAGGGTGTCTTGACTGCCTTAGCTCTTTAGACATGACTCAGGAGGTGCTTATGTTGCTTCTCAGAATCGCTGGGCTGAATGGAACCTCCAGGATAATTTCGTTCAGTTGTCAGCGACGAGGCCCCCTCCTTCAAACTAGGCCTCCCTGACCAGATTGGAGGATGCAGAAATCAGCGGCCAGGGGTCACATGTGACTGGGTGGGAGTACTTCACACTGCAGCGGAACATGCCACCCAGTGCAGCTTGCTCCACAGAGAAAATCAGAAGCCTGGGAGAAGAGTCTAGCCTTCTGGGGCTGGTATTTAGGGATGGGCACAAACTGAATTATGAACCAGAATTCGTCACAAACTGGAGACCAGTTCGTGGTTTGCAAACCCAGTTCATGCAACAGCATGGTTTCCTTTGGTTCGTGGAAGCAGTTCGTGGGCCAGGCATGCTGGCACCCAAGGCAGCAGTCGGAACCCTTTCATTAATTCTGATGGTCAGGTATTTAAAAACAGTGTTTCCGGAAGCTCCAACAACAGAAAATTGGTTCCGAAAATTATGGAATCACTATTTAATGGATTCTGTTTCAAGCAAACTAGACACTTCTTCTCAAACCCCAAAACATCAAAGGTTTGTTGAAAAGTGGTATCCAATTTTAGATTATCTATCTCAACAACAATTTATCTCCTCTGAATGGTCCCTATTCTATAAGTGGATTTAACAAGGTTTATTTTTCCTATTGAACCGAAGGCTCATGAATACATATCTTCTGTACACAAATATGGTAACATTATCCTTAATTCCTGTAGTGTGTTTTTCAAATGTATGTTGCACCGTTATTATGATTATTTATTTTCCTTGTTTAGCTACTTCACTGTATATATGTTTTAATATATTATTGTTGTTGTTGTTGTTGTTGTTATTATTATTTATTTTATATATATTAGATACCGGACAACAACAAGTTTTGAGGTTTGTTACAATGTAAGTTGCCCAAAGCTCTAAAAAGAAGCAGTTCTGAACATAATTACTTGAAAATATGCAAAATTTACATATGTTAAGATGTGTGTATTTAAGCATAATTTTACACTGTTCTCGATTTTACTGTTAACCTTTTGTCTAAAAACAATAAAAATCTTTAAATAATAATAATAAAAAGCTGTGCCACTCCACAGCGCAACTCGCCAGTGGTTGCCAGTTCAGTTGCCAGTTGACTTGTGCCACTGCTGCGGTGTAATGCAAGTGAGCTCAGGAGGCATTTAAATGGCTGTCGCTGGGGGGCTGTCACTTGGGGGGGGGATATTTCAGTGATGTCTTTTGCTCCCCCCCCGGGGGGGGATGTGGACAGATGATGTTTTTTCATCCTTTTTGTGGCAATTTAAATTGCTTTCATGTAGTGTAGTGGTTAGCATGTCAGATCCAGGTTCAGATCCCCAGTCCACCATGGAAGCTGGCTGGGTGACCTTCTGCAAGTCACAAACTCTCAGCCTAACCTACCTCACAGGGTTGCTGTGAGGATAAAACAGAGGAAAAGGATGTAAGCCACTTTGGGTTCTCATTGGAGAGACAAGGTACTTATAAACAAATTTATTCTGGGGCTAGAACACTTATACTATGTACACAAAAGTAATTCTCACTGTATTTGATACAGGTTACTCCAAGTAAGCACACAGAAGTCTGGAATACATTGGAACATTGGATGAGGGTCACGTTTGAGATTTATTATAAGAATACCACTCCCCTCTCATTTGTGAAGACTTTTGACTTTTTCTTTTTGCTGCCACCAATTTAGATTTTAAGTCATTTCTGCCCTGTAAAAAGGAGTCCTAGAAGCTTGCGTTAAAAAGAAATCAAAATTAAAATTAGAGATACCAAGTGTGAAAGATTTTAATAGCTCAGACATTACAGATCTGGGTAGAAGCAAGCCTGGTTTGGTGCTTTAGCTTCCTTGGACAGGTCTCAGTGCCCCCCTGCCCTGGAAGCTCAAGCCGAAGCCCTATTGGCATGGTTAGCACTGCCCAGATCTCAGCTCAGACCCAGCTGGTGATGGTGGGCAACGCCTTGCTTATGGCTTCCTCCTGTACCACCTCTGGTTGAATCCCATCTGAGGACCTCTGCTTGCCCCACTTCTGGGTGGAATAACTTTCCCCCCTCCTGAACAAAGACGTTTTTGTCCTACATCAGCACAGATGATCAGGAAACCCCGCACAAAACCACCAGGACTGTTGTTTGTATAACATTCCTATTTTGTTTAGTTGTGAAATCCTATTTGCCAGGGCCCTGTGCCTCTCGCTGCCAGGCATGCTGGAAGCACCTGACAGGCTGTTGTTGGAGGTGGCCCAGGGGAGCAGGTGGAGTTACTGCAGGTAGGTTTGCTCAGAAGTCATGGCGGGTGTGAGCCATGTGACTGTGCGCCGAGGCAGCGGAGTGAAGCTTCCAGGTTTAGTGGCAGCTGATCTCTGCATGCCGGGGATGAAGAGCAGAGAGGGCGACTTCTGGGCCGCCCAGAGACTGTCTTCTGTTAGAAATCAGATGGATTCTTGTTCTGACCCGGCAGGGATCTGCTTGTGTGCTTGCATGCAGAGGGAGTCTGATTATTTCTCACATATGATCTCTGTCTCTCTCCTCCCTAACCCCCACCCTGTTCACACAGAAGAAGCTCACAAGAGAATGTGTCTTCCGTGAGCAGTTCGAAGAAAACTGGTACAATACTTATGCCTCGACTCTATACAAGCACTCCGATTCCGAGAGACAATATTATGTTGCTTTGAACAAGGACGGCTCCCCCCGAGAAGGATACAGGACTAAGAGACACCAGAAATTCACTCATTTTTTGCCGAGGCCTGTGGAGCCCGCTAAGATCCCTGCCATGTACAGAGACCACTTCCACTACAGGTGACCTCCTCTGCCGCTTGAGCAGGCAGTGCCGACCCTTTGGGCTCCCGCGGCTTCTGCTGGAGGGCTATCGTGTAGTCATTCCATCCTTTCCCAAGTCTGGGTAACAGATAGAGAAGCACTGCAAGGAATCCCGATATTGCTCGTTCCTCAGTATTCCCTTGTAAAAGATCAAGGCCGAGCATGTTTGTGTCAGGTGGGGGCAGGAGGAGGAGCTATGCAGGCGATAGTGCAGGTTTTCCGTGGCTTTAGTAACCGGAGAGCTCTGAAAAAGAAAACGTTCAAACGGAGAAAAGCACATTTCTGAAACTAAAACCAGCAACGTGATGAAGATGAACGAAGGCCACAGAAAGGAGTAATCTACTGTTCATGTCTGAATGGTTGCATCTCGCAGGGCCTTTCCCGATGGCCTCACGGGGGCGTCATCTGTGCTACTTGGATTTTGTTGGAGTGGCCATAATAGATTGGCCAGGTTTTGCTAGTCTCCAGCTCACAGACCTCTGTGGTGGGAAAACAAGGGGCAGAGACCCCAGAGAATCAAGGTGAAGCCTGGGAGAGAGTGGGCCTGGATCCTAAGGGGCACGTGCGCATGCGCGGGGGCCCGCGTACTCCCTGCTCTTGGGGGAGTAGGGGCAGGAGAGGGTGGGTCAGGGAACAAACGTTCTTGAAATGTAAACATACTTTTCATAAGGACAAATTTATTTATAAAGTGTATATGGTATTTATTTTATATATTTATTTATTTCCAAAAAAAAGTATTTTATTTTTAAAGTAGAGCTATTATGGCCCAACTTTCAACAGAAAGCTTAAGGTCTTACTGAAACAAGAAGGGGGGGGTGTTGTCGAGTTTTAAAGAGCTTATTGGCAATAAAAATTTCTTTATATATCGTGGGTGGTTTGCTAATTTATTGTAATCATATGAAATCTATCCAGCCAGCAAAAAACCGAAACAAAACCAACTCTGCAAAAGAGGACGCTAATCAAAGGGGCAAAAACCTGCCTGTGCTGAATGATGTAATGAAAGGCTGGATGATGCACAGAGAGCCCCTCCCCCAAAGTACAGGGCCAGAGTCGGGGGCCGGTTCTGATTTCTGTCGCTGTTAAGTGATTTTCTTTAATCAAGTAAAGCTTCCGGTTTTATTTGGCCTCTCCAGCTGCAACATTGAGGGGACAGCATCACGACATGCATTTCTTCTTTGGAAGCAGTTTGCAATTTCTTTCTAAATTCTGGTAAATGTCAACATTCCCCATGTCTCTGACATTTACTGTGAAATGTATGTGAATGGCAGCACGTTTCAAAGTCTGGGGTTACTTTACTATCTGAAATTCAGATTTCTCACTGGTCATAGCATCAGCGAGGAGTCCTCCATGAAGGAATAAGATACAGGAAGAATAGAATTTAACCTCATGGAAACGCTTTCGTAAAGCTCACTTAGTTTTAGTACTAGTCGCAGTCAAAACTATGCAAAATAAATCACAGTTCTCTAACTGAACTGCACAACAAACCAGCAAGGCAGGCTCAACCCCGTTTTGCAGCTTGAGGAACTGAGACTTGGATATATGGCTTGCCCAGCCTATGCATATCACTGGGATTTGAACTCAAGGCTCCATTTCCTGCATGTAGTGTGGTGTAGTGGTTTAGAGTGGCGGACTCTAATCTGGAAAACTGGGTTTGATTCCCCACTCCTCCTCCACATGCAGCCGGCCAGTCACAGTTCTCTCAGAGCTCTCTCAGCCCCACCTACCTCACACGGTGTCTGTTGTGGGGAGAGGAAAGGAAGGCGATCCTTAAGGTAGAGTAACGCGGGGTATGAAACCAACTCTTCTTTTTCATGCTGAACCTCCAGTGCCTGCTGAGCCCCTCTCTCCACAACTGGGGACATGGTGATTATTTGTATGGCAGAGCACTTGCCAGACTTGCACCTGCTGTGTGCCATGTGGCATTGATGATACAGGGAACGGGGGTGACACAGGATGCCTCATCACCAAACTCAAGTAGCACCACACACCACACGGCTTTGCTTGAGGTTGAAATGAAGGGGTTAAGCCTTACAGATCTGAGAACAGGAGGAGGAGTGTTGTTGGGGGCTCTGATTCGGAGGGTCGCCTTTCAGAGAGGCCCCACTGAATGCAGTGCTGAATCTTGTCCTCAGTACAGTAAATGAAACCTTTGTGGATACTGTTCTATACATCCTAAACAATTGTAAAATCTAGCACTTGGAACATTAAAAAATAGCTTTAGGTAGGTAGCCGTGTTGGCCTGAAGCAACAGAACAAAGTTTGAGTCCAGTCAGGCACCTTTAAGGCCAATGAAGTTTAATTCAAGGTATACGCTTTCGTGTGCACACAAAAGCTGATACCCAGGATTAAACTTTGTTGGTCTCAAAGGTGCCACTGGACTCAAACTTTGTTCTATTAAAAACTAGCATCTTTGTTTAGAGGACAAATACTGCTTGAATCCCCCTCCCTCAGGTTTAACGATGAGACAGCTATCACAGGCAATACGAGGCAGTAATCCTTAATTCTAAAATGCTCCCTTCTCCATTAACAGCAACCCTGTTGAGGTGCTGTGAGTTGCTACCAGTGATAGCTGCTCTACAGTAGCTTGGGAGCTTGTCATGGGGTTGGGTGTGTGTGTGTCATGGGACAAACCCCACCCTGGAGATCAGCCAGCAAAGAACCAAGAGGAGTGGGATTGTGGGTTTCCAGTACACACTTCCAGCAGGTGTTCTGGCACGTGGGAAAACACCCCCCCCCCCAAATACTTTCCATCATTTTGTCTGGCTTCCCTCACCTGCTTGCTCAGTCCCTCTTCTTTGGATGGCTTCTGTGCAGTCAAGACACAACGGAGCTTCACTCTGTTCTTCGTCCAGATGGAGGCCTACCAGCTGCACAACAAATGTGCACCCAGCACAGGCAACAAGCTTCTCACAACAATTCCTCCCCCCACTCCCAGGACAACACTACAAAAAGAGACCTGAAAGCCTGGTGGCTGAGTGCAAGGGGAGACTTGGTCTTTGAAGTCCCCAGGTGATGACAAACGTTACTGGGACATCTGACACACAGAGGTATTTCTTGCTTATGAAAGCCAAAGCCCACAATAAGGAAGAAGACCAAAGGGGCTCAAAGGATCCTTCGGCATCTGGGTACTCCAGGCAGACACGAACATCTACTTTCAGGGCTCTTTTTGTAGAAAAAGCCCAGCAGGAACTCATTAGCATAATAGGTCACACCCCTGACAGCACAGCTCATTAGCATATTATGCCACACCCCCATGCCTTCCCTTGGCTTGCCTGGGCGCCCCGCAGCTGTGGGGAGCCTGGGCAAACCCCCCCCCCCCGAAGGTTTTGGCTGTAGTGGGTGTGGCCAACTCTGAAGCCAGCCGGAACTCCGTTCCTGTGCGTTCCTGCTCAAAAATAGCCCTGTAATAACAGTCGATTTGGGCTACAGAGTCAAAACTAGTGTAGAAGGGAGGCTCGACTGTACAAATTCACCTCCCCTCATCAAAAAGAAAAACCAAAGTCACTGCACGTGGAGCGCGTTTAATGGGGGAAACCACATTTGCCAAACCCCCTTCATCAACACTTCTGCAGGCACATGGAGAGTCACAGCCCCATCAGTCCTTGCCTGCTATATCCCCCCTGAGCTTACACGATCTGCCCTTCCCATTCTCCGTGGCACACAGGGGGAACATGCATCTGTAAGTCCTGTATGTGGGAGAAGCTGCTGCGGAAGAGTGCGACCAGTTTGGGTATCCACACAGCCAGCAGGGGAAAGGATCGCCCGCCCACCCACCCACCCACGGAGACAGATCAAGATGGGCAGCCGTGTTTGTCTGCAGCAGTAGGAACCAGTGAGAGACCAGGAGCACCTTATCGACTAACAAAATGTGTGGCTGGGGAGGAGCTTCCGTGAGTCACTGCTCACTTCTTTGGATATCTTCAGAAGTGAGCAGTGATTCATGAAAGCTCAAACCCTGCCACAAATGTTGTCAGTTGATAAAGTGCTACTAGGTAAAGGTTCCCCTTGCTTGAAAACCAGTCGAATCCGACTCCAGGGATGCGGTGCTCATCTCCATTTCCAAGCCGAAGAGCCAGTGCTGTCCAAAGATGTTTCCGTGGTCATGTGGCCTGCATGACTAGACGCCGAGGCGCACTCCTGCTATTTGCTACTACCCACCCCCACTGCTGTTCCTCTACACACATTTCCAACAGTCTGAACTGTAACATAAAACTGAATTTTGCCAAAATATTATTTCTTGCCGTTCAGCTTTAACAGAAAAGCTCAAAGTAAATAAACCATCTTGCGCCCTAGAGAGCACACTGGTGGCGCTAACAAGGAGAACACACTGGAAATTCCTTTCTGTGCCAGTTCAAAAACTCAGTACTGCTTTGACTCAACTTTGACCCTAAAAAGGCACTGATCCTAGTGTATGAAGGACTGGAATTCCATCAGAGTTCAAAGAAACTTGGTTGAATGGGCACCTGCTCTTATGAACAAAACAATGCATTTGTGCCATGCAGATTCCAGCAGTGTATGTGAAGTCTATGCACCCATCTCCAGCTCTTCTGAATGGGAAAGGGGTTTTAACATATATAAAATGTACCCATTCTCTTGCTGAATGCTGCATAACACGGATTCAGGTGGGGGTAGCTGTGTTGGTCCGAACCAGGAAAATAAAGTTTGAGTCCAGTGGCACCTTTAAGACCAACAAAGTTTTATTCTTATAAAGCTGATACCTAGAGTAAAACCTTGTTGATCTTAAGAACATAAGAGACGCCAATGTTGGATCAGGCCAAAGGCCCATCCAGTCCAACACTGTGTCACACAGTGGCCAGAAATACCAGTGCCATCAGGAGGTCCACCAGTGGGACCAGGACATTACAAGCCCTCCCACTGTTGACCCCCCCTAAGCACCAAGAAGACAGAGCATCACTTGCCCCCAAAGTAACAGAGCGTCCCCTGTGCATGCCCCCTGTGCCTCGCCGCCGCCGCGGAGCCACGGGGGGGG